GTGGGTCATCTATTTTTATCTTAACAGGGAGAGCAAGGATCTCTAGGAATCCGAGGAATGGATGGAGAGCAGGTAATTTTCAAAGACATATGCCTTTATTTAAAGCATCCTTCTTGATGGCTACTTTTATTGTAGGCTTGAAGCCAAAATATCATAAGTGTTGATATTTAATACCCTCTTTCTTTTAACCATTTGTTCTAGAGACTTCATTGATTCTAAAAAGCAGTTAGATTTCTTTGCAGAAACATCTAAGCCATGTAATACTTAAGTTTTGTTCTTAATACTTTATATCAACCTAGCAGTGACTCCTCTGCAAATTTTTAATAGACTTGTAAAATCATTACCAAGTTAGTAAAAATAGCCTGATTTTCATCAGTGAATACAAATATGTCAAGATTAAAATCAGTGACCATAGTTTCCACAAAACTAAATCTTGCCTATATGCCTTATTTAGACAATGTTTTCTTTTCCCAAATAAAGATGACACCTAATTTCTAGATCCTTAGAAAATACAGAAACAAGCAGGGCACTTGTAGCTTTGCAGAGTCTGGTGGAGTACCTCTGAGGGTTCCCCCTAAAACAGAGGTTAGCAAGCTTGGTTAATAAAGGTCCAGAGAGTAAATGCTTTAGGCTTTACACGCCACATACAGTCTGTGTTGATGTTTTCTAGTTTCCTTTTTATTTTACTTTATTTTTTGGTTAACACCTCTTAGCATTTTTTTAAAAAACACTCACCCTGTACAAAAATAATCCCTGGGATGGATTTGGCCTGTGAGCCATGGTTTGGTGACACCTGCCCTAAAAGAATCTGAGCTGGAGAACATAGACAGTATTCAGACTTTGGAATGGAATCAAAAGGATTCATTTCAAGATCTTTAGTGATTTCTCTGTTTCCATTATTTACTCAAGAAATGGCTAAAATCAGGAAAATCATATCAAAAGGATTTTTTTTTTCCTTTAATCAAAAGGATTCTTAATGCAGTTAATGAACATATACTCCTCAGAAGAAAGTATTAGATAGGAAAATTAGGTTTAGGAGATGTTATTTTTTAATATCAGAGTTGTATGTTTAAATAATATAATGCCATATTAAATGAACATGTGATAAAAAACAAAGACACCCTAGATGATTTGCTATATCATAGATCACATAGAATTTTTAAATCTGTCTATGCTACTTGTCTCACTGTTGGTCATTATAAGTAATTAACTTAACATGCATAATGATATACAATAAGTAATTAACTTAACATGCATAATGATATACAATAAATGATCCAATGATTTACCAGTCTGTAGATTGAACCATTGAAAACTGATGGTGACTGGAACTTCTGCCTGTAGTTAGGAGGGAGGGGAATATAGTGGCTGGAGATGAGAGAAATTTGTCTGGGCATTTGTTACTATATAACACTAGGTCCCAGTTCAAAATACATCCTGTACTGTTGAGAATTAAATGTATTAAGTTGTTTTCAGGTCTGGTGCGATAGAATTAGCTGCCAGGTAAAAATACAAGATCAGGAGAAATTATGTCAAAACCTAAGTTCATGTTTTTCATACTTAAAGAGCCTAATGTAACTTAATCTATTTCATTACAAGGGGAAATAGTATTGATTGCATGTAGAAGGTTGCTGTAAGGAATAACTCTACCTAGAAGCAAAAATCAGACTCATCTCAATATTGAACCCACCTAGTAACCAAATTGATCCAGAATTCTATTTTCCCTAGGATGTAATTATCAGGGGTCAGTATGCTGCTTATGTGCCAACCCTATCTATCATTTTTAGGAACTCAAAGACTTAAAGGGAGACATGAGGGACCCAGGTATGCCAGGTGAAAAAGGAAGAATTGGACTTCCTGGATTACCAGTATGTTTATACTTTTATGTTATATTCTTATTAAGATCTATTAAACAATCAGAAAACAGTTATATCATTAGGTGCAATCTCATCTAGTGGTTCATCTAATACTTTTATTTTGAAATATTTGAGGTATTATTTGTTAATTACTCTAGGGAACTCAAATTGTAAAGCATGTAACCAAATGAATTATAAGGTAAGCCTTCACGTTTTCCTGAATTGTTTTCCCTAGAAGATAATAAAATAAACATAGTTGGCCACTTTAATTTAGTATGCATAAGATGGTGGTAACTGGTTATTAGAAAATAAACTATAATTTTAAAAATGAGCCAAAAAATATAGGACAATTAAAAAACAAATTACTCTGGAAAGTGTCCTCTGTGTGTATGATTCTATGTGATAGTGTTTTATGGTTTTCCTCATAATTTTTACTGAGAATTTGGAGGAGAAAATGTAAAATTGTTTTAAAAAATGCAGTAAACTCCACTGCCTTAGACTTTTTTATAAGACAAGGAAGTATATAAATGTCAGTAAAAACTAAGTTAAAAGACTTATCTTTGCTATTTAAATTGCACACCACCATAAAAGATATAACATTTATAACTCAGTATATATTTAACACTATAGAACTTTAACCAATCAAGCTCAAACTAGTTTTTATTTACACCGCATTTTATTTTACATATCATCCATAATCCTAGGGATTTTAGTAAGCTTGCTTTTTTAAGCTAAAATGCAAGGAGATAAATCCCTTTTTTCTGTAGCAAGTGCATAATATTATAAAATGTCAAGAGAACATTGGGGTTGGGGAGAAAATTCAGTTGTCTCTTACACTGGAAATAAATTTGCTTAATGGTTATTTATAGGGAGCCAAGGGCATGAAAGGAGAAAAAGGAGATTCTGGAATGCCGGGTCCACAGGGTCCTTCTGTAAGTCCATGGCAGCTGAACTTCCATGGCTCCTGAACCTTCTCACATGCTGACCTGTTATTTACCTATTCCACCTCTGCCAGGTGGCAGAACAACATTACAAAGACCTTAAACCCCTTGGTTTGTCAAATTGTAGAAGAAACATTCATCAGCCTTGCATAGTGACAGACAAAGTATCTCAGAGGTCTGAGGAAGGAGCAGGTTTTCAGAGGACTGTCTAATTCTAAGGAAAAAATCAATGGTTTTCTCGTAACAATGGATAGATCTTGGTGAATATAGAATGTACTTGTTAGTTTCTCCAGAGCCCGCCTTATGCTTAGTGAAATATTTGAATTTGATAGTAGTGACGTTATAGCATTTCTTGGTAATTAATTGCTTCCTTTTCTTTTAACTTACTTTTGATTTATTCTGGCTTTTGTAGAACTTTTTTTGGAGTTTTTTTTTTTTTATTCTCACAAGGGAATTTCTAAATCTAGAGAATCAAACACATCACTTATTTCAGTATTTTTCTTCCTCTGCAACTACTAATGGTCTTAGCAGAACCCCAGCACAAGATTCAAGTTGAACTGCCTTATCTAAATGAAGTAACCAAATACATTTTTATTTTCTGGACATACAGACCATAGGTCCACCAGGCCTACCAGGTCCCCATGGCCCACCTGGCCCCATGATAAGTTTTCCTTCTTCCTAAAATGTAATTGCTTATTTATGAGCATGCTACTAGAGAAAACATGAACACATCCCTCTAAACAGCCAGCTTGCATTTTGTACTATTCTCTGTGGAATGGATGGAAAATACCAGGTGATCTGAGATAAACTAACTTTACCATGTTGTCTTTCACTCTCCCAAACACATATGTTGGGAAGAGATAGAGTAGTTCTCTTCTACGACAGAGGTAAGGAAAAACAGATCTAGCAAGCTGTACTATAATCTTAAAGCATGAACGCTGGCAAATCATTTTATCCAGTCACTGCTCTAACCTGATACCAGTAGAATAAGATTAAGAATCGGCTGGACACAATGGCTCATGCTTGTAATCCCAACAGTTTGGGAGGCCAAGGCAGATCATTTGAGGTCAGTAGTTACCAGCATGGGCAACATGGTGAAACCCCATCTCTACAAAAAATACAAAAATTAACTGGGCATGGTGGTGCACTCTTGTAGTCCCAGCTACTCAGAAGGCTGAGGTAGGAGGATCACCTGAGCCCAGGGAGGCTGAGGCTGCTGTGAGTTGTGATCGTGCCCTTGCATTTTGGCCTGGGAGACACTGAGATCCTATCTCAAAAAAGAAAAATATATAAACATAGCCATTAAAGAATGTTTCTTACAAACTTTGAGGTTTGAACTCTTTAATGAAATGTTCAATTAAAAATATTTTTATATATAGTATCAAAACATCACATTGTATCCATAAATATATAGTTATTACATGTCAGTTTTTAAAAAGAATATTTGTAAAATAGTATGATAAACGTTAAAGCTTCCTTCCACAGATAATACGTAGTGTTAGATCTTCTCCTTTTCACTTTTATGATACTTTGATCGATTCACTGAGCCAGGGCCAGTGCTAACTGCAGGTGTCTTGCAGTGGCCAATGGAGACAGTGACCCTGCCCTCAAGGAACTGAGGTCCAGTAAGGAAGGCAGTTATTAAGCAAGTATAATTCTCTAAATGACAAACCAGTGACAGTTGTGTTAAGGTTAGAATGCCAAAGGCAGAGTGCTTCATATGCTTTTCACTGGGGCAGAATAGGATCAAGTCAGGCAGGCTAGATGTGTGTCTCTAAGGTGTTAATAAATCAAAAGACTTCAGTATTACAGAATAAATAAATTGTGGTCACTCTTTCTTCCCATTGCACTCCAAGAAAGAGCATTATTGGAATGAGATAAGCCACAGAAGTAGGCAGTCATCCGTTTCTGACTAGCTCCATTTCTATTGCATAACATAAACAATTATTATTGACCTTCTTTTCTTTTTGTTTTTTGGATGAGTCAGGGTCTCACTCTGTCGCCCAGGCTGGAGTGCAGTGGCACGATCATGGCTCACTGCAACCTCTACTTCCCGGGCTCAGGTGATCCTTCCACATTAGCCTCCCAGTCACATGCCACCAACCACGCCCAGTAAATCTTTGTATTTTTTGAAGAGATGAAGTTTCACCACATTGCCCAGGCTGGTCTCGAACTGCTAGGCTGAACTGATACACCCACCTTAGCCTTTCAAAGTGCTAGGATTACAGGTTTTAGCCACCTCACCTGGTGTGACCTTATTTTCTTAAAACTAGATGGTTCATTAAGAATTAAGCAAATGGCATACTTTCAGCTTTTTAAAAATACTTCCTCTACTATAAGATAGAAGGTTAAATTAGAAAATGCTACATCCTGTTCATATCATAAAATTAATTAGCCTAAAGGAATTTTAAACCTTTATTAAAATGAGGTAAGAATACCTGATAAAGTAACAGCCTTTTCCTGAAAACGTTTATCTGAAACTTATAGAAAAGCAAAATATTATTCTAATGTGGACATATGTGACAAATATCTAGGCATTGCTCAATAAAAACTTTTTTCTGCATTTTTATAATTTTACTGATAAATATTAAATACTCCTTTCTCCAAATAGTTTGTTTAAAACACTTGAAAAGTGTACAGCAATCCACAGTAACCTTAGTTACCTTGACTAGTCTCTATATTTAGATTTTCTACAAAATAACGTGTTTTGTAATCTTGATTCATGCATGTATTATGATTTTCTTCCACCAATAAACAATTATTACAAGAGCCTTGAAGAATTTGTTTTGTAAAAAATAAATGTAACGTAAATAATAATGCTTAGCTTTCCTACATAGTAATCTTTTCTTTAAACTAAATAAATGATGTTACAGAATCCCAAACTTGGGTGTCATCTCCTCACTAGTCTCCTTTAGATTCTTCAACACCTTGGGCCTGGAGGAGTTAATGGAAAACGGCTCCTCTTCCCTGGCACCTAATGTTTGGGCCTTCTCTTTGGCAAATTTCTCTTTCAAGTCATATTTTTACTTTATTTAAACTCATGAAACATCTCATGTATTCCACTCAGATTTTTTAATGGTAATTTGAGTTCATAATATTTTCCCCACTTCTTTCTTCCATGTATCTCTGGCAGATTTCTTCCTCCTCAAAGATATTAGCAGACAGAATGGCTATATATTTTTTTAATAGTAAAAGTACAACCATATTTATTAAACTTAAGGTGAGGTGGGCAGGGGAGAGGGAGGAAAGCACATTCGGGAATGAGTTCTCAAACTAAGGCTCAGAACTGGTGTCCAGTGACACAGAAACCACCTTCCCAAATGGTGGAGCCTTTCCTTCCCTGGGGATAGTGGCAGAGGGAGTGGCGGCCACCACAGCACTCCTGACTCCCTCCTCCAGTCCCACTTTCCATTTCTATTCCTTTTTATTGGATGGCATTCTCAGAATCAGGAATTATCACTATCACCTATAAGTTACTCATCAAGTTGAAAGTTATTAAAGAAAAGCAATATCAAGAGTAGCTGCTCACATTGTGGGACAGGAAGATAGGATTTGAGGGCTGGGAAAAAAAAAACAAGGAAGATATATTCCTGTCCCCAAATAATTTTTTCATAAGTTATTACTTCTTAACTTAAGGGCAAAACTATAATGGATAGCTGAGTAAGACTGGGCTGAAAACTGGAGAGAAGGACCCAGAGGCGTTCTTTCGTTTTCTCTTTTACCTCCAATCTTTTCCCTTTCAAGCTACAGGTAGAGGCTCCACCACCATTAAGGTATTAACTTATCCTATGAATTTGATTCTTTCTTTATTCTTGTAAGATAGTTCTTTTTTTAGTCCATCAATTTTTGTGCTTGATATATAAAATTTTCAGTTCAGTAAAATTAAGAGTATGAGACAAACCATAATCTGTACAAAGAATTAAAAACCTAAATATGTCAATGGATCGTAAGTATCAAGTGACAACAAATAATAGATTAATTTTTATAGGGCTCATGACCTCTGCTTATTACCTTTAAATGACTGTAAAAGAAAGAATAACTCTTTTGGCAGGTTAATATTTGGATTTTATTGATCGTATCATATCACACCATGGGTCTCCAAAAATGTTCTGGGCTGCATATTTTTTCTGCGTATGAATCTTGGAAGAATACTCATTTACTGTCAATAATAGTTGTTTCAAAAAGTGAAATGACATTTTACTCATAATTTTCTTCTTTTCCCTTAGCATGCTGTGTTAGTTTCCTAAGGCTACCAGAACAAATGACCACAAACCACTTAAGACAATAGAAATTTATTTTTTCACAGCCCACAAGGCCAAAAATTCAAAAGGAAAGTAGAGTGTGATTGATTTCTTCAGGAGGCTTTCAGGTAAAATCTCCCTCATAGCTTCTGGTGGTTTCTGGCTGTCCTTGGCATTCCATGACTGTAGGCAGCATAACTCCAGACTCTGCCTCCCTTGTCCCCTGACCGTCTTCCCGGTGGGTCTCTGTGTGTTCCCATGGCCTATTTATAAGGATACAGCCATTGGCTTTAGGGCCCACCCGAATGCTCTGTGACCTCGTCTTAACTAGGTGTATCTGCAGAGACGCTGTTTCCAAATAGCTTAACATTCTCAGCAAACTGACAGACGAGCAGAAGATCAAACACCACATGTTCTCACTCATAGGCGGGTGTTGAACAATGAGAACACATGGACACAGGGAGGGGAGCACTACACACTGGGGTCTGTTGGGGGGAAATAGGGGAGGGACCGTGGGGGGTGGGGAGTTGGGGAGAGATAGCAAGGGGAGAGATGCCAGATGTAGGTGATGGGGAGGAAGGCAGCAAATCACACTGCCACGTGTGTATCTATGCAACAATCCTGCATGTTCTTCACATGTAACCCACAACCTAAAATGCAATAAAATAAATGGGAAAAAAAAAAACGTTCTTGGGTTCCGGGGTGGACATGACTTTCTGCGGGACACTATTTAACCCGGAAATACGCATAATTTTTTAGAAAATAATGAGTTCTGCCTCTGCTAAAAAGTCCCTTTTCTTTTCATTAGTGTTGATTATTATAAATAGCATGGAGAGTTGACAGACCTCTAAGTACTTGTCAACGGCTTCAGTGTGGGAAACAAATGCGGGAGTGGGAAGAAATAAGATTTGAGAAACAGTTCAAGGCAAGATAATAGAAGGGCATATACTTCATGCTAAAAAAAGTGATTTCTGTTTTGTGGCACGGAAGAACAATAAAAATTCAGAAATATTTATTAGGTGTCTATTCTGTGTCAATAATGTACAAACGCATTCTGGGGATAATGAGCTGAAAGAGTCATCGGCTTCATATGTATCACAGTGCAACGAGAAACCAATTCCTGAGACAGAAACAACTGGTAAAGGAGAACATTTGGGTTTGTCAAACTTGAAACTGAAAAAAATCAAGTAGAAAACAGGTCTAGTCAAGCTGAAATATTCCTAGCGTAAACAAAATAATAGGATGAAAATCTCCTGATCTCTCAATGGGAAGACATGAAGAGATGACAGGAAACAGGATTCAGCGCTTTGCCACATTGGAAAGCATATTATCAGTTACCAAGGTTCCTAGAAGAAAGGAAAAACATTGGAAAATAGAAAGGTAGTTGGAGTTATAAACTTGGTGTTGAATTAAGGAGAGAGCTGGACGAAGGAAAGAATATACCAACTGGAAGAGCAAGAGCTGAAAAAACAGAACTTATGAGAACATTTTAACTTTAATTGGGGAATGTTCAGTGAACCAATAGAGCTCCCCCTACCTCTTCTCCCTCTCCCTGCGGTCTTCTTCCCACCATCTTCGCCCTCTCTTCTCCCCACTGTATTATTTTTCTCCCCACTGTATTCTTTTTTTTCCCTTTGAGACGAAGTCTTGCTCTCTTCCCCGGGCTGGAGTGCAATGGGGCGATCTCGGCTCACTGTAGCCTCCATCTCCTGGGTTCAAGCAATTCTCCTGCCTCAGTCTCCGGAGTAGCTGGGACTACAGGCGCGAGCCACCACGGCCGGCTAATTTTTGTATTTTTAGTAGAGACGGGGTTTTCACTATGTTGGCCAGGCTGGTCTCGATCTCCTGACCTCGTGATCCGCCCGCCTCAGCCTCCCAAAAACGCCCGGCCTTCTCCCCACTGCATCCTGTCCCGCCCTCGCCTCCGCGTTTTCTTCCACTGTTTTCTCTACCACGCCGTCCTCTCCCTCCTCCCCACCTTCTCCTGCCCCCTCCCGCTTTCCAAGGTCGTTTCCACCCTCTCCTTCCCCTCCTCCCCCTCTCCCCGCGGTCTCGTGGGCCCCAAAGGTCTTCGCGCCGCCAACTCTGAGGGGGCGGGGCCGGCGGCCGCAGCTGCGGACCCGGCAGCGACTCCCCAGGTCTTCCGTTGGCCGCGGGTGGCGGAGCTCAGGGGGCCGCTGAGTGGGGGACGCAGGCGCGCGCAGGCGGGGAGAGCTTCTGGGTGGGAGGCGGCGGGAGAGCGCGGACACGGGCGTGGGCGAGGCGGCCATTCGGGGAGAAGAGGGTGCGGGAGAGAAAGGCGCTGCGGGGAGACGCCGCTGCGGGGAGACGGGGGAGATGGAGGCGGGAAGGTGGAGGGAGGAGGAAGATGGTGGAGAGTAAGGGGCTGGGAAGGAAGGCGAAGGGGAGAGGGAGGGAAGAGGAGAAGACGGTGGGAAGAAGATGCGGCAGACACGCCGCTGCGGCAGGGTGGGAAAACGGGAAGAAAACGGTGCGAGGGGAAGAAAACGGTTGGGGTGGGAAGACGGTCGTGGGGACACGCGGGGAGAAGAGGGAGCGGCGGGAAGGCGGGAGGGAAGCGAGCGGGTGGAGAGGAGGAGGGCGGGGAGGGCCGTGGGAAGAGGGACGCGGAGAACAAGCCGCTGCCGCGAGAAGGCTGAGAGACCGAGGGGAAGAGGACGGTGGGGACGGGAAGAAAACTGCGGGGGAGAAGAAGGTGCGGGAAGAAGACGGTGGAGAGAGTGAGCGGGGAGGAGAGGGTGCGGGGAGACCGCGGTGGGGAAGGAGGAGGGGAGCAGGGACGAGGGGAGGGGGAGAGAGCGGAGAAAAAGGTGGGAAGAAGACTGGGGAAGGAGAGGAGTCGGGAAGGAGACGGGAGGGAAAGGGCAGAAGGAGGGGGAAGGTGGGGGAAGCAGACGGCGGGAAAGGGGAGAGGGAGGGGGAAGAAAAGGGTGGGGAGGGAGAAGGAAGGACGGGTTGGAAGAAGAAGGGAGGGGAAAGTGGGGAAGGCGGCGTTGGGGAAAGACGGAGGTGGGGGGAAGGACGGGTGGGAGAGAAGAGGGTGAGGCAGGGAAGGTGGCGGGGAGAGGGGAAGAAACGGCAGAAAGGCGGGTGCTGAGAGAGAAGGCGGTGGGGAGAGGAGAAGGAAGTAGGGAGAAGATGGTGAGAGAAGAAGGCAGTGTGGGAGAAGAGTCGGGGCAAGAGCAACAATGGAGATAGCAACGTTTAAACGTCGTCGTCTTGAAGCAAAAGCAGCAAGTTCGCTTTAAAATAGTCCCGGCCTAACTTTGTTCAATAAATTCCCACTTCCAAATACGTTGTGTCTGCAATGTGGGTCATTTTTAGTGCATAGAACAGAGCAGTGTCTGATTGTTAGTGACCGTGCTGTCAAGGTGCATGCTGCTCACCAGCTAGAAACGAAAACATCACATTTCCTTCAAGTGCATTTTAATACATAATTTTTCCAAGAATCTCATTGAGGAAAAAATAGAGGGGTGTACCTTTGGCATTGAACATGGGGTCTCACATTTAGGTTGCATTTATTTCCCCAAATCTTTAAGATTGTGGCTGAAACAGTATTGTGAATACCGCATTCATTCTGTAGGGCAGTGCATGTTATTTTAACAAAAGTATGATAAACTGATATGCCTATAGAAATTCAATGAATTCAATTTAATTAATTCACTCATACAAATTTAGGTTTCCTTAATATAAAAAAAACCCAAAACACTTAAATTGCCTTTGTCTTTTAACCTAACTTCATGCTTAGAGTCAAGAGAATTTATAAATGCAATCCTGTAATGCTGGTGTTGCATTAAGCCTTTATTCATAGGAGGTGCTCTAGGGATGGTGGGCATTAGGCCAGGAGAGTTCCCTGGGAGAGGTCAGAGCCCATACCTCATGGCCACTTCAGTCTCCCGCTGGGCAGTGCCGGATCCTTTTGTGGCCACCCCAGGGGTCCAGATGTGCACAGGAGGCTGTGGCTGAGGGGCGGCTTGGGCAGGGCAGTGCTCACCACACTCCCGACTTTCATCTGGGTCATGTGGGGGATGGGCTCGGTGTCACTGTGCCCTCCCAGCCCACCGGGCCAGACCTCCCTCTGGGACAGAACAGAGGATCATGAGGACAGTGTGAGGAAGCACCCTGGGGTCAATTGGGGTCTGACCCCAGGGCTCCCCAGGTCCCACTGGGGACACGTGGACTTATTCTTCTGAACTTTAAAGGCAGTGCTTATTATCAGCATCAACACCTGTTCTTCCATCAAATACACGTCCCATGGTGCAGGGTGAGGCCGAGAGAGATCTGTGGGGACAGCACGCGTGGGAGGACCTGGCCCTTCCAGGCTGGGGCTGGTGGCTCAAGCTGGGCCCATTGGGGCTTCAGTCCCCAGAGTCAGTGACCCTCCCCGTGAGGGTCGCCTGACCCCTCCAGGACACTGGTTCAGACAAGGCCTTGCAGCTCCTCATGGGGGGCACTCATTTCAGTGGGGACGCGGCTTCTGGAGAGAGGGGCTTGCCCAGGTCTTGAGGCTTCCCTGAGCCCTCCCAAGTTGGGTCCTGGCCTTGTCTGTCCATGAGGCTGGTCTTGAGCCTCACTCTCTGCCCTGGGATGACCCCTCTTGGACAGAGGGTCTTGTTTGTGCCTCCTATGGGCTGGAGGTGAGCCAGACCCCCGGGCTGGGGAAACAGGACACTGCAGGGCAAGGAGGGTCCCTGAGCCGGGGTCTCTCTGTGCCTCCTTGCCCCATCATTCAACATGCAGAGAAGCCAGCTGGGCAGCTGCAGAGGCCCCCAATCCCCGAGGCTTCCCACCCTCCCATCTGCTGACCCCACCATGTGGCCTTGGCCCTGGGGAGGAGGGGTGGGAACATCCCCTGGAGCCTGGCTGGAGGTACTCCTGGAGGCCTCCTGGGCCAGGGTGTGGGAAAAGCAAGGCCACGACAAAGGGTGGCCAGAACAGGGTGGGTGCTGGGGTTCCTGGTCATCTCCTGGAGGTGGTGTCGGTCTAGAGGACATGGCTGGGGAGATGCTGCCATCTGGGCTCAGTAGGCCCATTCATGGTCACCAAGGGCAGCTGGAGCCCAGGCAGCTGAAGGGCAGGAGGAGTCTCAGGGAGGGCAGGGTCAGCAACACAGAATCAGAGCTGGAGGGTGTGGCTCCAGGACATTAAGGGAGGCCACGGGGAAGATGAGATGTCCTCTGCTGATGGGGATAAAAGGCATCTGACTTGGGCTCTAGGGGTCAGCCCCAGGCTCCTGTGGGACCCTCAGCAGAGACATCCTAAAGACTCCCAACAAGCTGGCGATACAAGGAAGGTGCCTTCGCTCAAAGTCGAGATTACCTGGTCAGGGTGGCTGTCCCCAGATCTGGCTGCATGAGGCCCCAGGGGCACCTGTCCACCTACCCTGTGGGGAGTGCCTCTCACTGGCCAGCAGCTACGCCAGTTCCCAGAATGCGTCATCCTCAGGAGCAAGGTGGCGACTTGGCTCAGGTCCCTACAATAGCCCACCTCCTGCCAGAACCAGAGTCACCATGTAAGGACATCATCTGGGAGGGCTGAGGTCACCTGGGAGTACTTATGTCATTGGAGAGGGCAGAGGTGACTAGGGAGGCTTCCTCTGAAGAATACACTTCCTCAGGATGCAAATTCACTTCATGACAAGAGCCAGGTCCATGGACACTTCAGCAACTTGTCCAAAAGCTCTCCTGAGAGCACCGTCCTGCGTGCCACCCGCCAAGCTCCTGGGCTTTGGGGCAGCCCCAAAAGGAGGACGTCATTTCCTGTTCAGAGAACTGGTGGCCAGGCCCAGGTGCCACCAGAAGTCAGGGGCATGTCTCCTTAGTGTCTCAGTTTGAGACCCCTTGAGACCACCCCCCTTACTTGGAGGTTTATACCAGCGGTGAGCTGGAGTTCTACCTACTATATCCTGATGGGTCACTCACAAATATTGACTTTGAAAGAAGCAACGACACCCCCGCCAGACACCCATGCCCTTGAATATGAAAACAGGGGCTGGGAATGTCACTACCCAGGAATACTCACCAGGTTATACTCTGAATATGCCACGAAGATGTAGAATAGTTCCCACTGCCTAGGAAACAGAGAAAAGGGGCTTTTGTTTCTTTTGTGCAGATGCTGTTAGTTTCATTTTGTCTACAAATCCCATTTCAGGTTCAGATGATTCATCAGATAAGCAGTAAGCTCTTCAGGGCCTTTGACTGTTTAAAATATGTTTCAGTAAAATCCACGTCTGTGAAATACAAATATTCCAGTTGTATAGTGGGTTGATTGATCATTTTCACTCTGAATGATTTTTTTTTCAGTTGGCACACACGACAGTTCAGTCTTTGGGTGTACAGTTTCTCCACAGTTCTAAACCAATGTGCAGAGTCTCCCAACCACCGCTCCAGCCCCTCCTGGAGCGAGTCCTTCATCCTCCAAGTCTCCAGGGTGGCCCCTATGCAGCCCGCCTCTCCCTGATCCATCAGCCCCTGGCCACCCAAACCAGTTCTCAGACACTATGCTTTGGCCTTTTCCAGAATGGCCTATGAATCGGAATCCTACAGTGGTAGCTTGTTGGGTCTGGCTTCTTTCCCTTAGCAAAATGGATCTAGGACCACCCTCGTTCCTGCCGGCATCACTGGCTCTTTCCCTTTTCTCACTGAGTCTTCTTGCGTTTGAAGGGAAGACCAGCTGTTGTCTTCCCATTCCAGTGCTGAAGGTCATCCCCGAAGGCTCCGTGTGTGAGTGAAGATGAATGAAGCAGTGAATGTGGCATGCAGGTTTCATGTGGA